AGGGCAATGAATGTACAAATGTGCTTTACACAATTGATGTATGTATGGATTGTGATAAGAGTTGTATGAGCCCCTAATAAAATGATTAAAAAACAATAAAACAATAAAGAATTAAAAAAAAAAAGAGTGACAGTGTTGGAAACCCACAGGAACAGTTTGACCGTCATAGGATGAGAATCAACTTGATGACAGAGAGTCTGGGTTTTTTTGGAAGGGTTGGTTCAGTTACATAACATTAAAGGGCAAGAGGGAGTTGGCTGTGAATATTATCCCTGGACTGTCTGTATTGCTAGACTCTTGTTGCCACATTCTGCATTCCATTCAGGTATCCTCTATCTAAATGATTAACTATTCATTTATCAAATAAATTAATAAAACAAAAAGACAGAAAATTTTATTCTCAACAAAAAGGGGCCTGCTGGTGCTGCCAGGTAGGGGCTGCTGCTAACAGCAGGGTCAGCAGTTCAAATCCACTTGCTGATCCACAGGAGAAAGGCAGGGCTGCCTGATCCTGGATTTACAAAGCTTTGGAAACCTTATCTAGAGTCGCTATGAGTTGGAATATATCCTGTAGTAGTGGGCTTGGGTTAGATAAGAGGAGAAAGAGGAGAAGCCACTGATGGCATTCAAAATGAAATTATGTACCAATTTAGAGACTGTTTAAAGTTTCTAAGCTTTGCTTAAAAATATGAGATACATTGAAAGCTAGTATAATTTGTTGTTTAAGTATACTTGAAATCTACTTTCATATAATAAGGGAGCTGGTGAATGCAGTTCAAAAGAAAGAAGCTATACCCTTTCATTAATGAATTATCCTGAAATCTTCAGATATCCTTTCTTTCAACTGCCACTCAAATGTTCACTGAATTAAGCCAACTGAATGATACAAATTCAAGGTTGCCTCCTTCCAGAATAACGGCATGACATTCTCTAGGAATTTCTGGTCACTTTATCTAATTTTCCAACCTGTAAAATGGGAATAAAAAGTCCTTCATCCAGGACTTGGAGAATTTTTGACAGATTCACTGATCGTGAAACATCTCTGTGGCCCTATGGGTGAGTGTTCAAGCTGCCAGTCAGCAGCTCCCACCCACCAAACTCCACAAGAGAAAGATGTGGCAGGCTGCTTCCGTAAAGACAGACAATCTTGGACACCTTGACGGGCAGTTCTAGTCTGTCCTGTAGGGTCGTTATGAGTCAGAATCAACTTGAGAGAAGTGGGTTTGGTTTCAGGTTTTTATCCTGATTGCTGTTTTTTTGCCAATCAAGAGTAATTACAGAACAATTATTTTTGGTTTAATAATCACGGACAGACTCTGCCCTGGAGGCAAAAAGGTTTACCCATTTAGCACAATTCTATTTATAAGGTATTTTGACCCTGTATTCAATTACTATTTGTAATATTACCAAGGAATTATTTCTGTTACAGGCTAGGCTCCTTCAGATTTCTGAAGTCCCACAAAGTCCCCAAGTTCCCAGCACTGACTTAGAGTTCCTCTTATAACTGGGTGTAGAAGGCCATAGGTCTCCAAACTTATTTGGCCTACTACCCCCTTTTCAGAAAAAAAAATTACTCAGTGCCACTCTGTCAACTAAAAATATCTGTATTATTGCCCCCAATCCAGGATAAAGTATAGGTATCTGTTTTTGATCTGGCCCCACCCCACCCCACCCCTACCCCGATCTTTCCAGTGGGTATCACCCATGTTGGAAAACATTGATTTAGAGAGATGCTGTGACTCTCTGGGAGAATAACTGGACTTATGCTGTTGGAAGCTGTGGCCCTCCCTGGGAGACTATCTGGACTTATACAGTTGGTTGACGTAGGATCTACCCATACCCTCCCGACTAAAACAGAAAAAGAAAGGAAATACTGTTCTAGCATTGCTTTTTTAAACATTAATTATCCTTGTAACAACATCTAAATGACATTTACTTACTAGCGTACGCTAGTAAATTCTCCAGGATATAGTTAAGCTCCTGTTGTGGTCATGTATTCTATTGAGTGAGCAGAAAAGGAGACACCCAGAGTAAATTCACAAAGTCAATTTCCAAAGAAGGAAATGAGCCCAAGGACTTCTTTAGTTTCTTATGAAAACCATAAGCACATATCCGTAACTCATTCCACCCAGTCTCACATGTAATTTAACTCTCCTGTCTCATCTCTTAATTGAGGCAATTAGTGAGTATATGCTCACAAGTAATTGTCAATAGTTTCTTGTTCCCTATTATCCCGGTCAAAAAATGAAATCTCTAGATGAATAAAAACTACACTTTTCTAGTTAAATATTCAGAGGGAGTACATCATTAAATCTTATTTTTAAATCTACATTTCATAATATCAAAAATATTCAACATATAATAAGAGCACCTGTCTTTTTCCCTGATGGGCTCCAAAGAACATTCAATAAATTATTCTATAAATAAATCAGTATGCTGTTGTATTGATATAAATTTGTTATCAACCCTGCAATTTCCCAAAGGCTGCCTCAGACTCTAGCAGGAATCAGGCAGGAAGTGGCACTCATTTTGAGCGGTCAAGAGACCAGAGCAGGAGTTAAGATTAAAAGGCAAGGAACAGGGTAATTAGAGGTCAAAGTAATGCCTTTAAAAAAAAAATCTAAAAGTGTTTTTGATTTTTGGTTTGTTTGGGGGAGGGGGTTTGTAAGTAATTGGTGTAGAATTTGTCTTAACTGATACGAGTCTTAGTAGCATAATAGGAGCCCTGGTGGCATAATGGTTGTACACTGGGCTGCTAACTGCAGGGTCAGCAGTTCGAAGCTACCAGCTGCTCCTCAGGAGAAAGATGGGGCTTTCAACTCCTGTTAAAGAGTTATAGTCGTAGAAACTCACAGGAGCAGTTCTACCTGTCCTATAGGGTCACTATGAGTCTGAACTGACTCACCAGCAGTGAGTTTGGTTTTGAGTTTTAGAGGCATAATGGGTTATGCATTGGGCTGCTGAGAGGTTAGCGGTTGGGACCCACCAACTATTCCAGGAAGAAAGAGGAGGCTGATACTCCCATAAAGATTTACAACCCCAAAAACTCTATGGGACAGTTCCACTCGGACCTACAGGGTTGCTATGACTCGGATTCAACCGGAAGGCATGAGTGGGTGGGTTCCTGTTCGAAGGTGGCTCCCAAAGCAAGCTAAATGAGATGAACCTATCTCCATCCAAGCTCTGCAATAATTACTACATTGGTTTGCGCAGAGAAATATCAACCATTAGCAATAAGAAAAGGACAAGTGGCATTAGAATCCAATTACTTTTCCTGGAAATTGATGCCTCATCAATCTTCCTCCCCACCCTAGGATCCCCGGACCTGCCTAGCATCAAGCACCAAGAAGCAGAGCCCAAGCAGGCAAGTGTGCAGTGACAGCAGGACCAGTGGTCACTGTTCTCAGATGGTCAAGTGCTTTGGGGTTCGTGTAACATTACAACTGAGAAAACCCAGAAAGGCAAAGGTGCCCAGAGGCAGGTACAGCAAGAAATTCACAGAGCAGGCTTTATTTGGAAGCACTTTGTGAGGCTTCCCATGACCCAACTTCATAGCAGCCTATAGGCTTGGGAAGTATCAAGGAACTCTAAGAACGTATTCGTTCCAAGACACATCTCACCCCCTTGACTGCACTGGCCATCTCTGACCGAGTTCTCAGTGCAGAGCTAGACAAAGAGTTGAATTAGTCGGCTCACCTACCAATCTCCTAACTCAGAAATATGGGGATGTAATGAAGTAATATTCTCATCCTGAGCTAAGGGAGGCAAGCCAATCAGAATTCAGCATGCCAGGGAATGCACCTGCTTCAGTGCTGGCCCAATGGCTTGAAGCTCAATAGGTAATGCCACAGAACACATCTGGGCATCTGGGCAGAGCGTCACTGCCAGATAGATGGGCATGGGGCTGTGGGGTATTCGGCTGACCTACCTGCCACTCTGGTCTGAGGTCCAGGTAACAGATCTCCCCTCAGGTTTGGTTCTGTACCAGATCCTTATGGCACGAGGAAAATCAGTCGCTGTCGGTACCCCTGTCTTCCTGATCTGCAAGCTCCACATGTCGGTGGCAAACAGGAGCTCCCCACAGCCAGGAGCCTGGCTGCAGTGAGCATAATAGTCTAACTGCTCCCTCCAACGATCTGCAGGCAGAGACATGAGTTCACGGATAATCCAATTCCTGCGCTCCTCAGAAACAAGCTGAGGAGACCTTGTCAATCTTTCAATACCTGCCACAGCAGCAACATCCACCTCCTCAACCTTTAAAACAGACAAATCACAGCAGTCCAACACCAGCACAAAATCCGCACTCCCATGATGCCCTGTGTCACAGCAGCACTTTGAACCAGAAATCCCAGAAGTCTGTTGCTGGTTGTCATGGTTACCATCTCTATCAGAAAAAGTCTCTTTTTTACCTTTACCACAGATTTCAAAATCATTACATCCTGTTTTATATGAGAAGGTCCTTGTGTTTGTCACAGGAGCATGGCAGGGTTCTGGTGTCCTAAATTCATGGCTTTTGTTTGACTTCGATGGGACAGCTTCCTCAGAGGGACTACTTGGTTTCCTGGGTCTGTTTCCAGGCTCAAAAAAAAGCACAATGGAGCCCTCAATGGTGCGAGTTTCAAAATGTACGTCCAAATCCAATACGTAGTGCTTCACAAGAATGTGGCTGGTGTTGGCCATGAGAGGCAGATCGTCTCGGAGAGGGTCCAGCTTGTCGTCCATGATGCAATTTGTTGTTGGAGAGTTCTGGTAAACTCTCAGAGGGGGTTTCCTATCTGCCTCAAATTTCTGGAATCATAAATGTCAGCTTCCAAAAAAGCCACCTGATGTCGCACAAATTACAGTTCCACAGCCTTCAGTCCTTTGGCAAAGAAGAAAAGCACAATTACACAGAATTCCAAACAAGACCCTAAAGGTTCCTGCAACTGCGACTCCTGCAAGTCGACACCCATCCTTTAAAATTTCCCAACGTGTTAGATGCTTGTGGCTAGAAGGCAGATTAATCTTTTTGACTGGCATCAAAGAAAGCTGCATGATGGGCTTCTAAAAATATTTCAATTACCAATGGAATGAGACGGGCCTTCTCAAAGCCAAATAAATTATGCTTCTAGAGCAGTCCTTGTTTGGGAAAAGGGCAATTGTTACGCAAAAGCGTAACTGAGGATTACTGTGCCTCTTGTTTTAAAAGATATTAAATGTTATCATTTCTAATTTTGTGCATCAAAAGATAAGTGATTCTCTACTGTGATTCTAAATAACAAGTGTGAATGAAGGCTAAATGGCCTCATAGTTTTATTCTTTGAGAGTTATAATGTAATACGTACAATGTAACTCCAGGGATTAATGCACTTTTCCCATTAGGACTGCTCTCGTATCAGCACTTCCAGTAAATTACGGGAAAATGAACCAATTTACCAGGAGTGCATTCTAAGTATTCCTTTGAGATTGTTCATGGAGATTTTTCAAATTTATAGTTAAATACTCAAGGTATATCATTACATCTTAATAGCTGAAAATCCATTAACATTCTGGGTAATAGCCTTCTTGTGGCAAACAAAAGGTCTTCTCATTTGGAAGGGGAAAAAGTAGGCAAATACCTATAAAAGGGAAGAGAGAAATTAAATGCAGAAACAGATGTTGTAATAAACTGTACAAGTTCTTCATAAAAGTTCTGAATCAAAATGTATTCTTATTTATAATAGGAATCTGACTAAAAGAAAAATTATTGGAAATTATTTCAGTCCCTGTTGTATACCTAATTTCTTTCAGCATATGCTGTTTTCTTTTCTTCCTTTTCTTTTTAAATTCTGTTGCCAAAAAATGAGAAAGAAACGACAGGGGAACAGAAGTAAGAACTCTTGACAGACATATTTTACAATGTTGTTTGTATTTCTAAATATCAGGAGTTATTCTTTGGTCACCTACAGAACATTACTTGCTTGTTTTTTTAAATAAAACTGAGCCTTCCTTTCTATTTGTCTCACTCTCCTCACCTCCCTTCCAACTCTACCTGCTTCTCCACTCTACCTTCTTCTCTCTCTGTCCTCCAGAATCTCATTCCAGCAACCAACTCCATCGAATTTTCTCTTTCTACCTCTCTAGAGGCTCTTCCTTATCAAAATCCTACCCAGCTAGCCTAAATCTGGCCACCTGCAGCACTGGACAATTTGGTTGCAAGCTATTTTTCTAGTCACAGAGACCAACCTTCACTCTAAACCTCTTCCTCTAGCCAAAGGGCCTGTCCAAAGCCAGGGACCCTGAAGGTCTAGCGACCACACTTCCATGCCTTTGGGACTAAACTGAGTTCCACACCTAGAACTCTCCCAGCTTCTTTCTACCTCCTGTATCTTCCGGCCCAAATCTTCCTTTCTCTCCAAATCTCAGTTCAAATTGCAACCACCTACAGAAAGCCTTCCTTGACCCCCACTTCTTCCCTTCACCAAACCATATATGGTAATTCCCTTCAATTCAATAGGATTTGCCAAAGCAAGGGTGCAGAGCATAGTCGGGGATTACTTTAAGGAGGTGTTGGTACTTCCATTTGGGCAAGGTATTTTCTTTTCGGCATGAATCTTAACAAGTGATTGAATCTATCATTTAACGTGACAAGAAAAGAAGATATAGTAACACGCTTAACAACAACCTTCAGTCAAGCCATGAGCTATGTAATGAGAAACAATGGATGTTAAAAATGTAATTCCTTTTAGGATGACCGACAGTACAATAAAAAAATGCTTTAAAAAAGTCCAACCTTAACACACACACACACAATAGAAAAAAGAGGAAAACCCACCTTTAATCAACTGAGTGACTCAATGAAACTCATTGCCATCAAGTCTATTCCGACTCATTGCAACCCTATATAGGGTCTCCTAAACTGTAAATTAGGGAGGCTCGGTGGCATAGTGGATTATGCACTGAACTGCTAACCACAAGATCAGCAGTTCAAAGCCACTCGCCTCTCTGAGGGAGAAAGATGAGGCTTTCTAATCCCATAAAGATTTACAGCCTCAGAAAACTCCAGGGGCAGTGCTACTCTGTCTTGGGGCCACTATGAGTCAGAATCCACTCCATGGCAGTGAATTGCATTAGATATTCTAAATCTTTATGGAATCACAGAGCCTCCTCTTTCTCCTGAAGCAGCTGCTAAGTTCCAACCTTGTGGTTAGCAGCCCATCACCTAACCCCCAGTGCCACCAGAGCTCCTTCGCCAACTGAAACAAGGGTCAGGGCGATTCTGTGTGTCAGAGGAGAATTGTGTTCCACAGGGGGCAATGACTTAGCAGTTAAGTATGATAACCATTTACACTACCCAGACTTGCAAAGATAATTTAGTAGCTCTCTAAATGATCATATTTGAAGAAAATCGTTTACCACTTATAACAATACAGATACAATCATATACTACTAAACCCTAAGAGAGTCCTTTATTAGCTTCTAAAAATTTATATAATTTAAGAATACGATATATTTTCTAGAGCAATTTTACATGACTTTTAGCTCTGGGAGAAAGAGAACTAGGCTGATGGTGAGCCCTGTAGCCACATACCTCTACCTTTTCCCTGGTTTGTCACTGCCACTAGACAGCCTTTGGGCTTCGGTGGGCTCCTTATGAGACTTCCCACAGAGGCCATTTTAAACCTTCTTGACTTTTCATTCCTAATTCCATGCTGCATTTTCATTCTCAGCAGATTATTTTGCCTAAGACAATTTTGAATCTCTGAAATATCCAACTATTCACTACGATTACCTTTTCTGGACACAAACAAAACAATATCCTTCTTAGCATAGATAATTTCTTCACCCTGAATCTCAACTTTCAAGGGCCAAATACAGTGCACTTTCTTTCCCATCCGAGTTCTAATGAGCAATGAGACAAGAGCATGGCAGAAGAAGACCCAAAGAGTCCCATATTACTAATGAGAATATGGCTAGTGTGAAAGCCTATGGTCTTCAAAATGTGCACCCCAAATTTGGATGGTTTGCCCACAATGTCACAGGCAAGGAAGGATCAGGTCAAAACGCTAAAGAGAGGAGGTAACTCTCCAGGTAAGACTTCTAGCCTTGAGGAGTAAAAGAAGACAGCTCTTTGTGGGAAGGATCGCTGCAGATTAACTCCATTGTGTCCATCAGGTTTTCAGTGGTTGATTTTCAAAAGTATATTGTCAAACCGTTCTTTCCAGTCCATCTTAGTCTGGAAGCTCTACTGAAACCTATTCAATGGCACATCAATACTCAAGACTCTCCTGATACATAAGTAACTGCAGTTTGAGATGCACTCATCAAAATCAAGCCATTCCAACTCTCTTTTATGGAAGGTGTGAATTCTACCACGGAACTACCAATGGCCCCTCCACATCCCCTAGGGTGGAAGTAAAGACCCAGAGACCAAGAGTGTTACACTGAGGCATGGGGAACATCAAGCATGTGTAACACCAGTGTCTAACATCAGGCATGGGAATATGTGTCCCCTTTATAACCAGCCCTTCCCACTAACTTGACGCCCTGTTCCTTCATTTTACATTGTCCTCTTGCCCACATTTCCATCCTCTAGAAGATTTCATTCTTTTTCCAATGTTTCAAGCACCTTCAAGATTTGACAGCTCTAAAAACAAACAACAAAAACAGCATTTGGCCCTACTGCCCAGTTTACTGAATTCTGGAGCTGGGAAAACCCTTAGGCATCATTTAGGGAACTCCCAAGTTTTACAAATAAAGACAATGAGCAACTTGCCCAACCTTTCTTTTGTGTGGAATCAGAACTCTTCCACTTGCTGAGGCTTCTCCTTAGAATTCCAATCTCTAGTTCTCATGCCATAAGCAAGTCCAAGTAATAGACTTCATATCATCCAAGTCCTAAGTAAATGCCACTGCCATAGACTTTCATCATATATCCAGCCGATCTTCTTCAAGTTACATAGACAGGTAACCAAGTCTTACTGTAATAATGTGGTGAGAAAGGGAGAATTTCTGTTACCCCAGAAGATTCAATATACTACTGACACTTTTGTATGGCTTCTAACCTAAATTTTGTATAATATGCAAATCTATTTTAACTTGTTACATCTATTTACTACTTGTCTTTGAGTTCCTGGTGAGCTAAATCTCTGTTCTCTACAAGTACATATTCTTAATGATGTCAATCAGAATCACAGTCCCTCCTACTGGGAAGAATGGATCTGGCTGTGGTTGCAAACACATCACTGTGGCATCTCACAGCATTGTGAAACAGCATTATATCATTTAGAATAGCTGGGATTAATTGATTTAAATTTACTGCTAAGTAACACTAATCTCACTTAACTTATTTTATGTATTCTAGTCACCATCATAAGGAGCTCTGGTGGTGCTGTGGGTTAGGCACTGGGCTGCTAACCACAAGGTCAGCTATTCAAATACACCAGATGCTCCATGGGAGAAAGATGAGGCAGTCTGCTCCCATAAAGATTTACAGCCTCAGAAACTTCACATAGGGTCACGATGAGTTGGAACTGACGATGATAGTGGGTTTTGAGTTATCCAGCCTTTTATTTCCTTCTTAGTTTTTACTTTTCGGTCTTTGGTTGAATTTTCTACATTAGTTTTTTCCCTGTACTGTTTCAATAATTGTACATTTTTCTTTAATGTGCTTACTTAAAGTCAATCCAAATAAAGCAAGGACCTTAGAAAGTTTTAGCACTAGTCTTCCCTACTGCAGTTTCTAGTTTGTTACTAATATCTTAGTATCACATTATTATGAACCACCTCCAGCCCGACTTAAAAATGAAGCCCATACTGATTTATATCACCAAATAGATTCACTAGTTTCCTTAATTGTGATTGATGTGTACATGTCATTCCTTCCTTCTGATTTCAATTTTG